AATATTCATTCTTTTTCCACTGCACCATGACTTGATATTCTACACTGTACATTATTTCTGTTAAGTGACAAGACTTTTGTCTTACAAAGTCTGACCTTACTGTCCTAATTAAATAATTAAAAATCAAGGCATGATCATATTTTAATTAGGTAAAACAAGCATAATCTAGAGGTCTTTGCCTTTTATTTAAACCACTATTCAAAATGATCAACCAAAAGTCAAGTTATTATACGTTGTTCCTAAAACTTGGATAGGCGCCAAGACTTTTGACAGGTAGTGTATAACACAAATATATATGTAGATATATTTCTTTTGTATATTTTAGCAGTATATATTATGTAAACACAAACCTTTTTCTTGGATACGACTAATACGATAGCACTGTATATATATATATATATATATATATATATATATATATATATATATATATATATATATATATATATATATATATGTGTATATAAATTATTTTTAAAATCTTTTTATAATATAAAAGGTAAAACATTTCCCAGCTGAAGTTCCTAGCAAGAAAAAAGCTCTATACTACAACACTACTCTCCAGTACCATACTTTTAGTTATCTCCAAATATATCACATCTCCAACATGAGCTTCTGCTTCACGTCTCCCCTCTGGCTCATTGTTTAACAGTTTTTGGTCCCATTTGTCTTAGGTCTAACTGAGTGTTCGCACAATACCAACAGCTTAGCATCATAATCATCAGTTTATCCTCCTGCATTATAATGCAACTACATGAAATACACAAAACGCATCATTCAATCAGACAATCCAATCATTAGCCTGAAAACGCATACAGTGCCCTCCAAAAAAGCATTTCAGTATATTTTGTATTTAAGTATTTTTAATTTAAACTGTAGATCTCTTTAGGATATGTAAACATACATGCAGGTTAGGAAGATAACAGCCCATTTTAGACCTTTTACATACTTATTTGTACTAAACAAGTAAGGCATCTGTACAGATTTGGCAGAACATCAACGGTGATGTCTGTAAATAGCACATTACGAGTCAACCAAAAACTGAACATTCTTTTATTATTTACTAATGATCATTTTGTTCTGGGAAACACAAACTGAAAACTAGTGACTAGCTGTGCAAATGATAGCAGAATTTGCTTTATATTCTCTGCAGTCATTATTCAGTGGTAATCTCCCTCTCCGATGAGCTGTCAGAACTGCTAAGACTGAATCAGTGAGTCAGTGAACTAAAAAGCTGAACTAATTGTGCTTTTGAGTCTTTTCTTTTCAGTGAACGAGAAAAAAGGACTTCATTACATTCAAAAAGAGGACTGAATTTATGCTGCCTTTGTCTCAGAATTTTGATTACTAGTGAAAAACTGAACATAAACTCACATGAAAGTAAGCGTGTGTGAAATTTAATGTCTGTGATCGTATTGCGACTGTTATTTTATAAAAATCTTCCAGTGATTTTTAGCAAATAAAATCAATATTATTTAATTTTATTTATTTGATTTGATTTATTTGAACACATTGCTGCATGATGAAGACTATTAGAATAAAATTTGAATGGGCTTTGATTCCAATCTTGAAAGCAAAGTATAGCTCTACATGATTTTTTTTTTTTTTTAAGATTTTAAGAAATGATATAGAATGTGTTCAGTCTTTATAAATACAACCTTTTTCTGAATGGTTGTGTGTTGTTATATTTTTAAGATGTGATATTGTTAATAAAGGAACTAAGCTAAAGGAAAATTAATTAATTTTGTTACATGCTTTGTCGAATATCAGTGTTTAAGCATGATCTAAAATGTGATACCGATTTTTAAAAACGGTTCAAATAACTAACAAACAAGGAGGTAATGTTGACTTTTATTTTAGGCACAGTATTTTCTGTTTTGCCAATGAACATTTTTCAAATGAGGCCAGAGCAAATTTTTGTGCATTTTATTTAATGTGTTATAATGATTTATCAGCGCAAAGCACCAAAAGTTTAACTCACTAGCCAAGTTTCCAACAGTACTTTTTACTCTGTGGTTTGGGATATTGTTAAAAAACCACTGAATGGAAATGCTATGAAGTATTAACTTAACAGATCCTAAGATTTTTTTTCTTTTTTTGGTTGGTAAAATTGTGTTCCTGATACCACATTGAAAGACTTTTATGTTTTTTTTTTCTTTAAAACCAAATTCTCAAAAAGTCAGCCATGCAGATGCAATGTCTACACTTAAATTACTCAATTTAAGGTAAATAATTGTGATTTTACTATGACAGAAACACATTTATTGAATAAATTATTCGATCTACAAAAAATATTATCTAAATCAGTAGTGCCCAAACTTGATCCTGGAGGGCCAGTGTCCTGCAGATTAAAGCTTCAACTTGCCTCAACAAACTTCCATGGATGTCTCCAGAAAGCCTATTAAGAGCTTGATTAGCTCTTGTGTCTGACTGAGATTGGAACTAACCTTTGTCCAGATCGAAGTTTGGGCACACCTGACCCAAAATTCAAACAATTGTATTCTCTAACATCAGGAACCCACCTCCAAGAGCAAGATAACATGAAAGTGTTTGTTATTTTGTGCAGCCACAGTGGTTTCTCCCATTTATATTTTTATATATTTTAATATTTTATGTTGACTATTTTGTTTTCTTGGACACATGGAAAATTTTCGTATAAATTGAATTAGCAACTTTGGATGGAAACATGGCCACTGATGTCATGACCCAGTCTGAATAGAGCTAAAGATTACATTTTGGTCTGTTTGTCACACAAAGCTAGTGAATTACATAGAAACTGATTTGCAGTAGTTACTTTTGTAACTTTTATTCAATAATCATGATCACTATCATTTTTTAAATGGCGAAAAAAGAATCCACTATTTTTTTTTTGTTAAATAAACTAATTTTACAGAGTTTAACAGCTGAGTTTGACCATTTTTAAATCCATTCAGCTAATCTCGGGGTCTGGCGGGAGCACTTTTAGCTTAGCTTAGCATAAACAATTGAATTTGATTGGACCATTAGCATCTTGCTTACAAATCACCTAAGGATTTTGATAATTGTCTTATTTAAAGCTTGAGTTCTTCTGTAGCTACTACATCATGTACTAAGACTGATGGAATGGAAAGTTGCCATTTTCCTAACAGATCTGGTTAGAAACTATACTATATTTTTGGCGTAATAAGCAGAAATAAGCAACTGAGCTGCTGTACAATGGCTGCAGCAGGCGCAATGATAATAGGCAGCACCTGCAAATATAATTTTGAGTCGTCTATCATTAATAAGAAAAAGATTAGGAAAGATTTTGCTGGAAGAACATCCTCTGCATAAAACGTGCTGGGAACGTTGGGGGTTCATTTCGCTGTGGCGACCCCTGATTAATAAAGCGAAACCGAAAAGAAAATTAATAAATGAATGAATAGGAAAGATTTTCAGAAAAATACACAAGCTTTAAATAGAAAAAATTTACAAACTATTTGTCATATATGAGTGAGATGCTAATGGTCTAATCCAAATCACTGATTTATGCTAAGCTAAGCTAAAAGTGTTCTCATTATACCAAAAGATCAGCTGAATGGATTCCAAAATGGTAAACCTTGACTGTTTAACTTAAGGGGAGTTTTAAAATAAATCTAAAGGCCCCAAGAAATTAGAATATTCCTTTAAGTATTTAAAAAAAACATCTAAAAATGGTTTGTGAGGCTGTCTGAATATGTTGGAGGCTTTTACAAGTTAGGTGGTCACAACAAGAGACACATTTAAACATGTTAATACCAGGTTGTAACAATCTGTAACATAAGGCTCTCCACTTAACCATGTTAACACCAGGTGGAAACAGAAAAAAGAAAAAAGAAAAGAAATGCTTTTAGAAGGCACTGTAATTACAGCTAACACCTAAAACAACGTAGGACCCGGTATTCAAGCATCACAGGCAAACCCAGGACTAATTAAGCTTGTAGTCCCAAGCCTCCCTCTTCACCATCATTTACCTCCATTGTGTTTCTCTAAAAACAGAGAACATATAAGAGTGAAAAAGCGCTCCAAATAAACTGATCTATACAACTTAACATGCAACACTTTCGCTGTACAAACATTTCAACAGCATAGAATTAACATCTGTGAGAAATCCAACAACTCCGCTTCCAATGCGTCTTGAGAACTGTCCGCAATCACAAAATAGTAAAGATCTCCAGTTATTATATCTCATAATGTATTATTTCATAAAACAACTCTAGTTTAAAGCAGCTTTGTCCCTGTGTAGAAGCCACGGTGCACAAGAATACAGTGTTTCATTGAGTCCTGGCAAGAATTATAGTTCATTAGATGGCAAAAAAAATGAAAAGAAAATGGCACTTCTTTCCCAGCTATTCCATAACGTAACTCCCATTGTAAATGCATGTGTAGATTTATAGTGTCTTCATTGATATAAAACTGCTACATGTACAAAGGTAACATAGAAAACCTGCCATACGGTTTGCATTGCACAGAAATGACTCTAGAAGCGCTTTGTTTACATTTCCCCTGGATACATTAATACAAATAAAGATGAGCTCAATTGAACAAGGCAAGGTAAACGCTTGTTCAGCTATCATTTCAAACTTTTTATAGTAGTGATCTCGAACGTTACAGTCATATATAGTGATGCTAAAATACTGCACCACATCATAATTAATAAAATGTGCAGGAAAAAGCGCTCAAAAGGCTCCCTAAGGAGGAAAGTTCCTCCAATAATAATCAAGGCCGATGTTTGAGAAAAAAAAACTGAACTTTGAGACTTTGTCTGCAAAAGGAAATATTTCATGAACCTTGATTTAATGCTACGGAATATATGTAATATTCCACATACAAGCGAATGTGGGTTGATGAATCGCAGTAAAAGGATACGTCTTTAACCTGCGTGTAAACATCCCAATGCCACTGACTGTAGCTCTACATCTGTATCTTTGTAGTAATATGCTAAACGCAATTTAGAAAAAGTTCTGACACAGCAAGCGAGCATGTATTTCTGTAGTGATTTCTTTTTTTTTTTGTTGCATGTAACCAGCTGGCGTTGCTGATTGTAAATCGATAACACGTTTAAACTCCCTCTGCACATTAGCGTAGCGCTTCTGCAAAGGCTGATAGAAAGGAAACATTTCAGCTTCGTCCATTTTGTAGCGCACAGCAGAGAAAGCCCATGTGGAAAACTCCCAAACAGTAAGGAATTTTCGGCCCTTGTCCCGCCGTTCGTGCAACTTTGGTTTCCAGCAGTAAGAAGGTACAATAAGACCGTCGAAAAGCTTTTAATAGTCCCCTCATGGGGTCAGGTTTCCCAAAAAGTTGGTTGATGCTTATCTGGGTTGCGCAGATAAGCCATAGGCAGCGAGGAAGGAGGATTTGGAGGGAGGCTCTGCTACGGTGTAGTCTGAGATTGGTGGCAGTACTGGGGCTGGAGGAGGTTCTAGAAGCAGGTAAGGTGTTTGGGAATCATTGACAGACACCAGGTAATCGCCATTCCAGAGGTTCCCCTCTACACCTTGAGTTGGGAATGCTTGGTATTCCTGTTCCGGACCAGGACTAGATGGGACATCTGCAGAAAACTGCCTGGCTGTGGTCTCTGAAGTGTAGGCTCCATCGCAAACCAGCTGGAATTGTATCTTCTTCTCGTTCTCTTCTTCTTTCTTCTTCTTCTCTGGAGAGGTGTTCAGTTGTCCAGGTGAGAGCATCACTTCTCCAGCTGGTGTGAAATCACTTACTTGGGCATAAAAGTCCATGTTGACCCAGCTGGGTTGTGTTTGGATGGGCGTCTCCACCACTTCTGATTCCTGCTGGAAATCTGGATTGGCCGAGCTGCTTCTGGAAACCAGAGAGTGCTGGTGCTCCCCCTGTTCAGAATGGTTGGGAAGAAGGGAAGCCAAGTCTTCAGGATCTGGGATTTCTGGGTCATAGCAGCTAGCGCGACCGGAATCGTCGTCGTTTTTTAAATTAAGGTTGTGAGAAGAACCCGAGTGGGACAGGCCCAGCAGATGCTGGGTATCAGAATTCTTCTTGTCTGCAGGATCGTCGATGTCCAGCTGGATGAACTCCACCCATGGGTCCTCGTGGTAGAAGTCTGGCTTGTACATATCATGACTGCTCAGTAAAGAATCAAGCTGGTCAAGCTTTCCATTCTGTTGGAGAACAAGAAAAATTCGACAGGTCAATTAACACTATGTGATTTCATTAGTTGACATGTGGGTTTGTTTTTTAACATTTAACATTTATGATGAACAAAATTTGAAGTTAGGGGGTTGTTCACATATCCAGACCCTCTAGTTTTTCCACTATTTTAATGTGATTTTTTTGCAATAAAATGACTGATTTTGTGGTGGTAATTCCAAGAAATTTGAGGACCATTTTGTGATTTAAAAAATTTATATATATATGTATGATATCTTATTTACCATATTTGATAACTATGTTAGGTGTGAAATGTGACACAATGACAATGACACAAATCATAAAAATAAAGCTTATTTATTTTGGTCTCTTGTCAAGATCTAAAATGTACCTCATGATGTACATCTTGTAATTCACACATACGACTCCCCTACTATAATACACCTAACATACAGATTACCAAAAACTCGTTACTGGCAGGGAAGCATTTTCTCTTATCAACGGATAAGAGAATAATTTTAAATAATAAAAATTATTTATTGATTTGATGCACATCATAATACCAAGTCAAACATACAAAACGCCTAATTCGCGCCGTATTATTCACTCCATTTGTGCTACAGGATGTCTAATCGCATCTTTGCATTGACTTCACATGTAAATCACTCGGTCTTCACCCACGTCTGTTTAATGCACAGGCTGCAAAACAATCCCCCACCTTTCATGTAACATCACGATTGTGAGGGCACAGGTGAGATGTCATTTTTCGAGAGACACTCAAAATACATCACATGCTCTGCTTATGCAACTATGTCTATAAGTCAAGTGAAACAATTGCAAACTGAAATACATATAATTTGATTATAGGGTTTGTAATGAGATGATTAATGAGATTATTTACAATTTTTATGACACAAAAATTTGCAACCTATTGTTGATTTTTGTGTTGGATTCTGCGATCGCAAAATCGCGAAAAACTAGGTGGTTTGCGCAAGTTTGTTAATTCCAATGGAGGTGTGCGGCTTGCACGCGAATATTGGAAGCAACGCACACACGCTTTCCATGTGCAGCTAGTAGAAAACATCTCAACTTTTCAGAATGTCCATGAGTCACATGACTAGAGCTGACCAATCAGCTTTATACTTTGTATGGAATATACACATTGCGGTGAACCAATTACATCAGACAAACACAGAACACCCAAACCCTGCAGTGCTTTGAAATTTTTTTCATAAAAAAACTTGTATCAGAGCTGCAGCAATGTTTTGCTAGTTTGTCACCCTCTAAGAGAAAGCGATTGATGATTGCCTAACTATGAAAGATGACAAAGGAACGCTTTCCATGCACTTTTAGATGCTATATGTGAACAACCTCTTAATATGCAGTAGCTATGGAACCTCTCAGGTTGACAATAACGAAAGCAAATTCTGTTCCGCCACTCCAAACATAAAGCAATTTTTCTGACTTTCATTGAAGAATAACAAAACAAACTATTTATTTTCAGTGGATTACCTTGCATGGCTTAAATTTTCACCTTAAGAATAAAAACGTGAGTCAAAATAAACACTGTAAATTTAGATTTCAAGCGAACTTCAAAGCTACAGCTGGAAGTATTGTAGCAATGTAAACAAATGCATTAAAGAGAAAGTTCACACAAATGTACACATACAGAAATCACTTACTCATCCTCTACTTGTTCCAAAGCCGAGTTTCTTTTTTTTGTTGAACAAAAAGCAAGATGTTCTGAAGAATGTTGACAAAAACATTTACATCCAAGTTTTATTTTCATTCTACTATGGATGTGGATGGCTGATTTTTCAAACATTTTTTAAACATGTTGTTTTCTGTTCAAAACAAAAAAGAAATGATCAAATATTTAAAACCACTTAGGTTTTCAAAAAAATGTAATTTTGTTGTGAACTTTCCCTTTAAGAAATGAGCAAGTGAAAAGTGAGTTACCAGTATTATAAGAAATGTAAAGAAACATCATTTTAAACAATATTTCTGCATGTGAAAATCCCCAAAACAGCGTGCATAGGTGTGTTTGTACTGGATTGCTCTTTGGGTTAAATTGTTTACTTAATGCTTCCACTGCAGTCTAAAAACGGAGTACGAGGGCTGTTTAATTAACGAGTCCCTGCACTCTCTGGAGGTGGAAAATTACGAAAGAACACCCACAATATGTCAACAATTATGACCTTTCCAAAACAATCTCGCTCTACAGCGTACCACTCCACTGTTGCTCACAGGTGCAGTCCTTTTCGCTCTAATTTTATAATGCTACAGTTTTACTTATGCAAGACCCTTCATAATGTACATAGTGTATTCACCTCTCCACCATTTGTTTTGTTGGCAACTAATGAGATGTTTTTGTCAGTCACTCAAAAAACAAAGTGGAATCTTTTCTAATATTATATAAAAAAATCACTAGGCATTATTATTTCCCTGCTCTGTTTACTATATTGCATACTGTTAACTATACATTATATCATAATAACTTGCAGTTGCAATAACAATAGAAGTATAATTATTTGTATAAAACAAAATAATGGCATTTTATACAAGTAACCATGTTTTGTAAAATTACCTTCAGCAGCTCTGGGTCGATTCCTTTAATTTTAGGTGCAGGAATAGGTGGTAAAAAGATTACCATCAACCTGTGGAAAAAAATAATATAAAAATAAATGTAAGTGCATACTTCCGAATTATTTGAATCTAACTTTTAATCAGTAATGTAAATAATGATTCGTTTTTATAGTGTTTATGTAATTAATTTCTACAATAATAGGATTAAATAAAGATGCTTGATTTTCATTGTGTATGATATACTTTTTAAAATCATTTGACTCTAACTTCTAATTTAATTCTAACTTTGGTTCAGTTCCCCTTTATTACAGAGGAATGAACCGCCAACTTATCCAGCATATGTTTTATGCAGAGGATTCCCTTTTCCTGCCTTAACTCATCACTGAGAAGCATCCTTACACACTCATTAAATATTTTTTAATACCATTATTTATTATCATTATCACTATTATTATCGTCATTTATACTAAGTCAAATATTTAAATATTATTACATATTTAAATAACAATAAATTGGTTTTCTTAAATGTTGAAATACAATATTAGCATTTTAATATTAATAATGTTAAACATTACTTTGTAAAGATGCAAATACAATAATAAATATATTCATATTAATATTTATTATTATTTTTATTTTAGTATACTATTATTAGAATTAATACTAAGTTAAATATTAAACTATTATTATACAATATATTTAAGTAACACTATATTGATTTTTATTAAATATTAAAATAATATTATTTTATTATTACTAATGTTATACATTTTTTTGTATGATACATTTACATAAATACATATGTACTTATTCATACTATTATTTATTCATATAAATTTATTTACTATTACTCTTATTACTATCATGGATACTAAGTTAAATATTTAAATTTTATTACATATTTAAATAACAATATATAGATTTTATTAATTATTGAAATACAGTATCAGCATTTTAGTATTAATAATGTTCTACATTTCTTTGTAAAGATGCATATACAATAAATATAATATATATTCATTCATACTATTAATTATTGAAATACAGTATTAGCATTTTAATATTAATGTTATACATTTCTTTGTAAAGATTCATTCATATTATTATTTTTTCATTTTACTATTACTATTATTATTGTTATTATTATTGTAGTTGTTGTTGTTGTTGCCGTGCGCGTACTGAAGAGCGGTGTTGTCACGCGTTCTCATCAGCAGTGTTGAAGCGAGTTCTGTAAAGCGGGAGGGGGGGGGGGGGGGGCACTTTTGATTTGTCGCGGGGGCACTTTTGATCATTTTGGAAGGGCACTTTCTATCCAAGACTAAAAAGGGCATGTGCACTGCACAGGTTGAGCCCTATGTGTGCACGTGCCTGTTGGGCGGCTCACCCAAGTAAAGTTTATGTGTGGAAAGCACTAAAATTTTTCAATAACCCTGAATTGACGAAATATGATTTTAATATTATTTATATTAGATTTTTCTTTGAAAGATACAAACAACAATAATAATAATAATAATAATAAAACTACCTCACCTCTGCTGCTGGGAGATGACAATGAAGATCAGAAGAATCACAACCCCAATCAGTATAAAACTCAACACCAGCGCCATCGGAAACGTTGATTCTGTAACAAACAAACAAACAAACAAAAAAAAAAAAACATATCTGAAACTGGAGTAAAGTGCTGAACTGATTGGTGCTGAACTGATTAATGCTGCACATCTGCTTTCACTTTGCTGACTAGCAAGTCAAGTAGTTTGGCGCTGACCTACCTTTGCTTGGAATCTGTGCAACTTGCAAAAATACGCTGTCGCTGAATTCACCGAAGTTGTTGAAGGCTGACATCTTACAGCGAACTCGCACTTCATACTCTTTATCTGTGTGCAGACCATAGATGGACTGCTGTGTGCCGCTTTCCAGCTCCTGCTGCGGTAAAAGAGGACGAAAGCGTAAATAAGAAAAGATTGAGCAATAAACTGGCATTTGTGAACCATTACATTTACTCAGAGAGACAAATGGACATGTCAGAAGAGCTGCATTTTTCTCCAGGCCTGTCAGTTTAATGTGTTTATTAAAATAGGGTAGGTAGGGTAAATGTAATAAAATAAGCTAATTATTATAATAAAATAAAAATGAAAGCAATACAGAAAACAAATTATCTGCTTGAAATTAATAGTTTTCATTTGATTAAAATAGCCATGTAAATAAATGAATTTAAATTAAATAAAAAGCACATAAATCAATCAATCAGTAAACAGAGTGTTATATCGAGTTGGTAATTCATTTTCACTACTTAATATAACCCTATTGATTGATTGATTGATTTATGTGCATTTTATAATTTATTTTTTTTTATCTACATGTTTTTTTTATTAACAGGGTTATTTATTCATTAAATAAAAAGCGCATAAATCAATCAAACAATAAACTGAGTGCTATATTGAGTCAGGAAAATATATAATATAATTAAAATTAAAGCAACAAAGGAAAATGTAACGTATTTTTCATTTAATTCCATGTCAGCAACCACAGCTATTTTGATGGCAAGAAAGTTTCAACAATAAATATACAATTAAAACAACAAACAAATTAATACATAAATTAAATAAAATTTTATTGTTAATACAGGATAAACATTTTAACATTTTTCCTGGTGTCACTTTGTTAAAAAGGTCCTCAAGAGAGTTAATTTCATAAAAAAAGCCTTCTGGAATAATTAAAAGCACGACAGTCCAGTAAAACATGTAAAAGGGAAGTTGGTAATAAAGATAAAATATATAATTTGATTAAAATTAATAGCTTTAATCTGATGAAATTAACCATGTAAAAAAATAAAAATAAAATGCACTCAGTTTTTTGATAGATTTACGTGCATTTTATTAAATTTTCATTTACATGGTTATTTATCATGATTATTTTATTTATATGGCTATTAATTTAATTAATAAAATTCACAGAAATAAACAATGTAATTTTGAAATTGAATTGGAAAAATTAATATTAAAATAAAAATAAAAGCAATAAAGAGAAAATAATAATTTGATTGATTGTCTTTTGATCAATATAACCATGTAAATAAATACAAATAAAATAGACATAAATAAATAAATCAATAAACATTCATATGCCCTACTCAATATAACTCGTCCTTACTCATTTCCCTATCGAATTTGACAGGTAGTTTAATGATATAATTTTATTTCATTTTTATTCATTTACATGGTTATTTACATTCTTATTTATCATGGTTATTTTATTTATATGGTTATTTATTCATCACATAAAATGCACATAAATCAATCAATCAATAAACTTATATATTAAGTCTGAAAAATTAATAATACAATAAAAGTTAAAGCAATAAAGAAAAAAATATATTTGACTGAAATTAATAGCTTTATTTGATCAAAATAACCATGCAAATAAATAAAAATGAAATAAAACAACCAAAATAAATCAATGAGTTATACTGAGTATGGTATTCATTTTCGCCAATCAATATAACTGATCCCTACTCATTTTCCCTACTCCATAAAGCACTCAGTTTATTGATTGATTTATTTATGTGTATTTTTTAAAATGTTTATTTATTTACATGGTTATTTAAAATTGCATGGCTAGTTACATGGTTATTTATCATGGTTATATTGTTCATATGGTTATTTATTCATTAAATAAAATCAATAAACTTAGTGTTATGAATAGGGAATTCATTTTTTTTTTCAACCCAATATAACACTGTTTATTGACATATCTATTCATGTGCATTTTATTTATTTGTAGTTATTTTACATGGTTATTCATTTATATTGAGTATATTCTGAGCATATATTGACCCAGTTGTATTGAGTAGAGAAATTTTTTTTGTTGGTTTATTTATTTATTTATGTGCATTTTTGTATTTGCATGGTTGTTTTGATCTAATTAAAACTATTAATGTCAATCAAATACTTTTTTATTGCTTATATTTTAATTTAATTATTACTTTTCTTGACTCAATATAACACTTAGTTTATTGATTGATTTGTTTATGTGCAGTTTATTAAAAACCATGTTAATAAAAAAAATTATAAATAAAAAGCACATAAATAAATCAGTCAATAAACTGAGTGTTATATTGAGTAGGTAAAATGAGTAGGGATGAGTTATATTGAGGAGGGAAAATTATTGCTTATTGATTGATTTATTTATGTGCATTTTATTTAATTTTTAATAATTTTCATGGGTGTTTCCATGGTTATTTATCATGTTATTTTATTTACATGTTTATTTATTTATTAAATAAAATGCACATAAAGAAATCAACCAATAGTGATATACACAAAATGTTTCCAAATAATATTTTAGTTCTTTTTATGGATATTATTTACATTTAATCAACATTTTTAATCATCATCAATGTTTGGAGCCCACAAAAACAATTTACAAACTGTAACAACAAAAATACATTTAAACCAGCAATAAACAAAAAACAAGACAATAAACTATACAGACTGCGTTTGCATTTTGGGGGTCCCTTTTAAATTGAAGACCGTATCTGTGGCATCTAAAAATTGAAAACACTCAAATAACCTGATTTATTTTGAATTTGAATTATTTTATTTGGCACATTTCATAGATCACATTTCTTCCCTTTTCTCTTCATTGTTGAACTGCAGCATTTCTTTTGTGTACATATGCAAAAACAGATAATTATGTGTCAAATGTATTCTCCCTAGAGAATGTTTAGTTTTTCTCTAGCCATTTATTGCAACCCAACAGCTCTGGGAAAAAACACATTATTTTTTCACTGTGAAATGTTACGACTCCTGCTCTTAGAAGAAAGCATCAATTATCGAAGCATTAACATTAATTTTTTTTTTAACCCACAAAAAAGAACAATTGTCAAGATCCTTACTAAAATCATTCTTAAAGTTTATAACTGCGAAATCTCTTGAGGACAGCAAAAACGCTCATGTACTGCTGTAAAGCCTACAGGAACAACTATAACAGTGAATCACTGGATCTATTGAGGCCTGCCAGCATACGGCAGTGATTTAACACGTGGCTCCGTGTGGTTTTGGTGAGTCTGCTCAGTCTGGGCAGGACCGCTTGGCAGGAAGGGGGAACGTGGCTGTTTGGGAGTACAAACCCAAAAGAGCTCCTCAAAATCCTGCCAGTCTCCCAGAAGCAAGCCTGAATTACAGAGCATGCATGATCATTTTAGAATGAAAACTGGTTTATAACGCGTCTCCAAAACAAAATCATTTCCCCCAGAATCCAGTAAATAGAGTGGTATGGCTAATTTTGTCTGCCGCAATGTCTGGAGTCCACATAGAGACAAGATGATCAAAAGATGGAGTGTGTGATGGTCTAGTAAACTCCATAGCTTCACTTTGCAGGATGATTTCTTTAGGTTTATGTTATTTTACAGTAGCTTGATTCTGGCTGATAGAAATGATCACGTTGAAAGGGATAGTTCACCCAAAAATTAACATCATTTATTCACCCTCAAGCTGCCTTTCCACTGCAGAATTTTCTGTACTGTCGTGCACCATGGGAGAGAAGCAGTTCTCGCAGTAGCCGAAATAAAGGAGTGCAAAAGCAAGAGCATTTATTAGCTGTGCATTCGCCATGGTTGAATGAATGAATACTACAAACTCATAGACTGCTAAAAAATATTGGAGGGAATGTGGAGACAATATAAAAAATAAATATGGACTTTTTCCGAAATAAACAACAACCAATAAAACTACTATTTCTCATCTTGCGTGCACGGACCTGATTGGACAACACTAAAAATTCGATGATCGGAGCTCCTGGACTACTCTCTGTCTGACTCTCTGTCTGTCGCTCTGTCGTGTGCAGTGGAAAGGAGGCTTCAGGCTATCTGAGATGCAGATCGCTTTTTTTTCTTTAGTAGATCCTTACAGTTGGCGTAAAATTAAAATAAAAATGTTAGATGTTAGTTTTTAGACTGTAAGCTTTTAGAATGTCTATTAGCTAGTGTGCTCCAAAACAGTGACAAAATCTGTGTTTAGAAAATATGAAACTAATATAAACAACCAAAGCTTGTAGTTTGTCGCTTCAGCCTAAATGCCTAAAAACGTCACATCATACTTCAGTTTCTTATTAAATCTTGACCAAAAAATGCACATTTTAAAGCACTTCATGGGACCTTTAAGGTAGATTCGTTTAGTTTAAAAACTGTTACTTGAGCTTACAGTTACTAACAGTTTTATAATAATAATAATAATCATCATGGTAATAATAATAATAATAATAATAATAATAATAATAATAATAATAAAAACATATACAGGTGAAACAAAATCAATACCCCTGGCTCACAAAGATATATTAAAGTCTTATGAAGCACAACAAATAGTATGCTTAGGACTGTTTGCTGTAGGTGTAATGTTGTAAAACAAGAGCAAAATGCTTGTTTTAAAATTTTGTTTTGCAGGGTTTTTTTTAACACTTAAAGGGACTGAATTTTGACATTTTATGAATCACTATAGACAACTTTAAAATTCTACTATCTTCAACTGAAGATAAAATGTGCAACCATCCCAAAATTCAATGTGTATTTAATGCAACTATCCCAATATTCAATGTGTTCATATAAATAACCTCATAATTTTGTTTAAGAAGTAACTTTCAATGTCAACTAAATAAAAATAATAAGGAAACAATGTAAATATCTCTTTACATTATGTGTGTGTTTGAGGTGAAGAGTAAAGCTCTGTCATTATTTACTCAACCCCCACAAACCTGTCAGTGTCTTTATTTTCTGGAACACAAAGCAAGATACACTCACTGGCCACTTTATTAGGTACACCTGACCAACTGCTTGTTAACGCAAATTTCTAATTAGCCGATTACATGTCAGCAACTCAATGCATTTAGGCATGTAGACATTGTCAAGACGATCTGCTGCAGTTCAAATCGAGCATCAGAACTGGGAAGAAAGATGATTTAAGTCACTGATTGTGGTATGGTTGTTGGTGCCAAACGGGCTGGTCAGAGTATTTCAGAAACTGCTAATTTGCTGGGATTACTCTAGGGTTTACAGAGAATGTGCTGAAAAAGAGAAAATATCCAGTGAGCAGGAGTTCTGTGGGCGCAAATTTCTTGTTGATGCCAGAGGTCTGAAAAGAATGGCCAGACTGTTTAGAGTTGATAGAAAGGAAACAGTACAACATGCCAAACCTTGAGGCAGACGGGCTACAGCAACAGAAGTAGAACAGGAGGCTACAATTCACACAGGCTCAACAAAATTGGACAATTGAAGATTGGAAAAACGTTGCCTGGTCTGATGAGTCTCAATTTCTGCTGCGACATTCGGATGGTAGCGTCAGAATTTGGCATCAACAAGATGAAAGCATGGATCCATCTGGCTTTGTGTCAACGGTTCAGGCTGGTGGTGGTGTAATGGTGTGGGGGATATTTTCTTGACACACTTTGGGATCATTAGTACAAACTGAGCATTGTGTCAACCCCACAGCCTACCTGAGTATTGTTGCTGACCATGTCCATCCCTTTATGACCACAGTGTACTCATCTTCTGATGGCTACTTCAAGCAGGATAGAGCACCATGTCATAAAGCGTGAATCATCTTAGACTGGTTTCTAGAATATGACAATGAGTTCACAGTACTAAAATGGTCTCCAGTAACCAGATCTCAATGCAATAGAGCACCTTTAGGATCTGGTGGAACGGGAGATTTATATCATGGATGTGCAGCAGACAAATCTGCAGCAACTGCATGATGCTATCATTTCAATATGGACAATATAGAGGAGTATTTCCAGTACCTTGTTGAATCTATGCCACAAAGGATTAAGGCAGTTCTGAAGGCCAAAGGAGGTCCAACCTCTTACTAATAAGGTGTACCTAATAAAGTGGCCGTTGAATGCATACTGAAAAACACTGGGGAAAACTGACTTCTATTGCAATAATTGTTCCTACTTTGGATGCCAATTGCTGCTTTTTTCCAACGTTCTTCACAATATCTTGTTTTGTGTTAAACAGAAGAAAGAAATGAACCAAGTTTTATTTTGGGGTGAACTATCCCTTTAAGAAATTGACTAGGGGATAAAAATCTGAAAAATACTCGTGAATCTGGTGCTTGTGTTGGTTATTTTACTCATGAATGCTGAATTAAATAGTCTGATTCATGGTGGCTGCATCACCACAAAATAAACAAGCGAGTAATTATCAATTATTCTTAGACCTCAGGATTTGCTATCTTTAACCTCTTCGTTCCTCTCTTTAGTGAGTGGTGCTAGAGACATACCATCTCCCAGTAGGTGTTGTTCTTGACCCGGTACTGAAGCTGGTACACCAGACTCATCCAGCCTGTCTTCACATCAGCTGAAGGAGGGGGGGTCCAGCGCACAAGGACGTCAAAGTGCAACCCTGAACGACTCACATTCAGCAGAGTCCAGTTCAGCCCAACTGGTGGATCAGGATACACTGTGAGGTCAAAACACACAGCGGTAAGCTTAAGCATACTTATTAACATGCGTACAGTCAAACATTTGAAATATACTCCACTTAATAATGCAAGTGAAACACAGTTTGAAGCCTCTACGATTACATGACGTTTATTGTCAGTAAAACAATCACTGTGTCAGATAGAATCATAAATAAAGCAAATATGCCAGACTACACATTGCTTTGCGATCAATCATCATGTGGCATCTACAACTGCCATTATTCTGTCATCACGAAGCCAGCGCATTACATCACAAATATCTCTGCAGTTGTCTATCAAGTATTCCCCGTAGATGTTAGTTTCTCCAAGATACTGTGTGTACATTTAGTGAATAAAAACTGTAGATTCATTCCATGCCAGCAAGAAGCATGTTTGGAGTTTACCAGCAATGGCTGTAAACAAAAACAGAAGTTTCAAAGGCACTCTTATAAAAATGACCTGGGCTGTGTCCAAAATTGCCTACTAATCAGTAGGTACTGCATTTGAATTTGAATTTAATACACGCCGTTAGAAAAGTGTGTTCTATACAGTATGAATGGAACTCAGAGCTCCATCCGCCATTTCATCATGATCGTGACTAGGGTTGGGTACCGAAACCCGGTGCCATTATAACACCGGTACCTTTGTAACCAGTATGTACTGGTTCAAATCAGCATATGAATTTCGGTGCCACTGGTGCTGCAACAAGGACCTAAGAAGCATCAAAGAGGTGCATCAAAGTCACACATAGGCGGTGTGTCACAACATCTCTAAACATTTCATTCTAAACAACTTTGAGGAATACAGACAGGTGATGTCAGGCGATTGTTATTGTTTCTAGGTAACGCACGCACGCAACGCGTGCAGTACAGCGCATTCAGGCATGGTTTTCAGTGAGCCAGATCGACACTCTTCAGATCAACACGCATGATCACGTTCATCAAATTTGCTTAAACTAAGCATTCTAAAGTGTATTTTACAAGCTAGGGTTCTGAAACAGCAATGTGCTTTACAAAAGTTGCATGTAAGAGGGAAACATGTCAAGCCTAATGACACATTTCACATGCAATCGCTCCCTCGGGCACTCGCTCCTTCTGTGATGGTGCTGTGCGCATCAGTTCCCCGCATTTGTCAGAAGTTGATGCCCAAATTGACAAAGGTAATAAAAAGATTAAACTTCAGTCATGTTAAAGTTGTGAAACACTATCAAAATGTCCACTGTTGATGATATCACACTTCTGTTTTCAATAGTGATTTTAACACTTTTAATACAGGAAGTCCTCGGCTATGCAGAGACCATTATTAATCAGAAAACTAGTGTACATAGTTTCACATCAGGAAATGCAGTCTTTAAATTACAAAAAGTCGGCAAGTACCAAAGAATAGATGTAAGACATTGATCAAACGTAGTTTTCAGTCACGCTTATGTAAGTCATATTCAACTCGTTTAGTTTTGCCTTCATTCATTTTTGATTTCCGTCTTCAACACATGATTTATTTACAACACATTTTTAAACATAAGTTTAACTAACTCATTTCTAATATCTACTGTTTTATCTTCCCCATGCTGACAGTCAGTGCATAATATTTTACTAGTTATTTTGCAAGACAGTTGTATTCAGAAAAAGGCCCCGTTTACAATAATGCGTTTTAGTTTGAAAACGCATAAGTTTAGCTATGGTTACGCTATCCGTCCACACTACGCTGGAGTTTTCCAGCGCCGAAAAACTGAGTGTTTTGGAAATGCTGAAGAGGCCATTTTCATTTTAAAATGCTGCTGCTCCATCTCAGTGTGGATGGGGAAAACGGAGACATCTGAAAACAGAGGCAGTGCTGCAGACATTCATTTCATCTGATTGGGGCTTTTCCTCAATATTAAGTAGCCTACACACAGTTAAAGTTTTGCATACTCTCCTCGCAAGTTCAGATTTTGCAAGTTTGTTATGGAAAACAGACTCCTAAAAACATATCTGATAAATCTTCAAAGGGAACGGTGTACATTGTTTATATTTTTTTTTACAGAATTTTTTTTTTAGGAAACACTGTGGAAAAATTTCAGAAACATTAATTTAAATGAATGGGAGGGCAAAATAAATTGACTTCAACTGTAGGCCTATCTGTTAAAGTTTACAGGTGCAACAATGTGCCTTGATGTACTTTACATTTCGAATGTTCGAAATGTGTTATCCTACACCAATACAAAGTTACTTGTCAAATAAACTAACAAGGAAGATTATTTTGAGTTTAAGCGATTTAATTATTTTGTTTATGAAGACTGCAGAGTGATGCATGGAAAAAAATGACTTCGAATAATTTTTAAAGTATTTTTTGATATATATGTTAAAATGTGCTCCCAAAAGTACGTGTCGCCCCCAACAGGTTAATAGTAAGCTACTGTATTTTCAAAATGCAAATCTTAAATTCATGCTAACCAACAAATGATCAAAGGAAATATATTAATGTAATTCAAATATTTAAAATATGAATTGATGGTTACTTTAAACTTAAATTATATTGTTCTATTAAAATTATTTTTTAAAAGATTTTTCTAGAGTCATCCACCATAAATTCGTGGCTAAAAGTTCCAGCTCAGGGACCGTTTTGGCACCGGTATAGTTTTAAAAGTATCGATTTAGCACCGGTATCGAAATAATCCCAAACGATACCCACCCCTAATCGTGACGTACCAACGTCAGTTGTGTTGCTTCACTCCCATTTATGAATTATCTCACATAGCATCATTGCATAGAGTAGCGTGCATCGAACGCGCACTTCAGATTCTCGCCGGAAGTCATCCGGGTACTTCTCGCATAGGTGTTTTTTGAATGCTATGAATTCGGACATACTACTCGACTCGCATACTATTTTTTAGCATACTATATAGTATGAAAGTATGCAATTTCAGATGCAGCCTTAGCTACCAGTTTGAATGAGAACATAATGAGTGTTTATGACACGCTACACAAGATGAAACTATTGAATCTTGCCTCTCAATGCCCAAATATCATTTATAAATCCCCATGACACCCTATGTCAAGCAAACTTTTCCAAAATAGGGACATAATCGAAAAATCTGAACCGGGCTTAAGAGACCAATCACTCTGACTAGGATGGAAATAGGCCAATGAAGTACTAATGAGTGGAATCTTGATGCAAAGCCACACCCGTATATAATTAGGTATTCTCTGCAGTACAGGACCTGATAGACTCCCACATTATCAACAAAAGAGCATTTTATTTTAACCTGTGGGACTCATACTTCAGAATTTATTCAATTCATATTTATTTCTATAGTGCTTTTACAATGTAGACTGTGCCAAAACAGCTTAACATAGAAGTTCTAGTTAGGGCTGCTTGATTTTGGGAAAAACCATAATCACGATTATTTTGGTCATAATTGTAATCACAATTATTCAAATCAACTATCAGTTGAAGTCAAAATTATTAGCCCTCCTGTGAATTTTTTAAAAATAAATATTTCCCAAATGATGCTTAAAAGAGCAAGCAATTTTGACGGTATTTCCTCTAATATTTTTCTTCTGGAGAAAGGCTTATTTGTTTAATTTTGGCTAGAATAAAAGCAGGTTTAAATATTTTGAAACTCATTTTAAGGTCAATATTATTACCCCCCTTAAGCACAATATTTTTTATTGTCTGCAGAAGAAACTACTGTAATACAATGACTTGTCTAATTACCCTAATTAAGCCTTTGAATAGCACTTTGAATCTGAATGCTTGTAGTTTGAAAAATATCTAGTAACATAAAGTACTGTCATCATAGCAAAGATAAAAGAAATTGGTTATTAGAAATGAGTGATTAAAACTATTATGTTCGGAAATAAGTTGAAAAAAAACTTCTTTCCATTAAACAGAAATTGCGGAGGAAAAAAGCGGCTAATATTCAGGAGGGCTAATAATTCTGACTTCAAGTGCATACAGTTATTTTCCTCCCTGCAAAGGAAAGATAAATAAATACACAAGAACAAAAATATGAAACAAATTGTGCTTTAAGCATCTTCACTGTAAGAAAAAAACTTTAGCTACAAAAGTCCTTCAGTCAAGAGCAGTAAGGGATTTTCTCCTTTTGTTGTTTGATTAATAATGATAAAAACAGGTGACAGCAGGGACATTGTGCACACTTTAATGGTTTCTCTTTCACATGTCTTTTGATTACACAAATGAGGGTTAATATGAATAATCACCAAACACCGCGTTTTGACACCTATTTCACCATTAAAGCGCTCGGATTAAGACAACTTTTTAGATGATATGCTCTACTCGTCTCAGTGTGCGACTGCGAATGAGACCGAATGCTAACCGCATGCTTCTGACTGTGTGCGCGCCGCACACACACACACACACAAAGCATGCAGACTTTTATGCAGACTTGCTTTTAAGAGCAACAAATGTGTACAACTGGAAAAGGGACAGTATATGATGCAATAATCGTTTATCTCGATTATGTTTTTTCATAATCGTTAGAAGCTAAAATCGTAATCGAAAATGGATTTTCGATTAATTGCACAGTCCTAGTTCTAGTAAATTGAAACCGTGTCAGTTCAGTTTTCAGAGTTGAAGTACAGTTTAGTTCAGTTCAGTGTGGTTTAATTTTCGCTGCTGAAAGTCCAAACACTGAAGAGCAAATCCATCGATGTGCAGCTCCACAAGTCCCAAACCAAGCAAGCCAGTGGCAAGAAACAAAACTTCACCAACTGATGAAAGTGAAGGGGAAAAAAAGCCTAGAGAGAAACCAGGCTCAGTTGGAAGTGGAAGTTTAGAAGTGAGTAATGTAATGCTTCCTCACTCGTGGCCCTGACAGGCAGGTTGCATTGAAGAATAGTACATCCTTTTACCATGAGCTCCCTGCAGGGTCCAAGTAGTTGAGTAAAGCTCACACACCACTTATTGCCTCTAATCTTGAAAAGTTATGCTTACTAGGACAGGCATTTTTATTTTGTCATACTGCCTTATCACCGGTACATCAGCAATCTGTCCCTTTAGTTCGGCTTGCACGTAGTCTGTCAGCCTTGTTAATGTTGTCCCTAAACTAGAGATGCATCTGTTTATTCTGTTCACTCTTCTATTAAATTTGTCATAAGCCAATCCCTAGCTGGAGTTTCTCTGACAGTCTGATTCGACAACACTTCAAGTCACCTCCAGATTAAGGAGAATGGTAAACTGAAACTGAGAAATAGAAATAGCAGTCTAGGTCCCTTCACGGTAACACACCATGGTACTTTTTCTATGCAACAGTTCTCCTTTTGGTAAACCAATGTCTTTCCCTGTGAGTCCCTCTGTTTTAGGTTGGCCGGCCCTTGTCTGGTTGTAAAAGTTGGGCCAGAGTACATATTTTTCGGCTTGGGCACAGTACACTTGTAGTGTGAATGCATAGTGTGCCTGATCACAAAACAGAAGATGCAACTTCACTTCTAAGGGTGCTGTTTCATATGGATTAATTAATCATGCTTACTTTTCAATGAACGTGAATTGTCATAGATTATCAAAGATGCAAAAACCTTGCAATTCTCTAAATACAGGCAGCACAATGACTCTTATTAACATTTATGAGGGTCAAAAAGGGGTAGATATGTTCAGCAAAAGATTTGACTTTGTCACTGCATCCCAAATGATCAAAATAATACAAATCAATATAACTAAAGCAATGTCCACTGTACTGAGCGAGAGCAACACCTCATCGATGACATAAGCGTGCTCGGAAAGTAAAAATGGAGTGAGTGCGGGCCCTCAGGGGAGAGGGGACAATGACGCCCTGGCTTGCTTCAAGACAACTGTGCCTAGTACAAAGGTGGGTAGTAACAAATTACATTTACTTCTTTACATTTACTTGAGTAAAATTGTTGGGTAACATGTACTTTTTGAGTACTTTTAAGTTTACTTTTACTCAAGTAAAATATTACAGAAAAATCATTACTCTTACTTCACTACATTATGCGGCATTCCTCCGTTACTGTCAAATGATAATAAATATGATTATGCATGCTGTACATCGAACTGACATCGCAATTTATAGCCTACATGAATTCCAACTCAAACCTGAAAAAAGTAGTGGTAAGTGTCAAAATTGTCCCAATTTGAAACTTATTAATGGTAACTATGGGAGAACCAAATACTACTGCTTAATGAAATATCTGATTACCCAGTTCATATTAGTCATTCACAATGTTAACCATTAAAAAAAAATAACACTTAAAGTAAAATTTTCTGCAAATACTTTGTTTGAATTTTGGATACTTTACCCACCTCTGGCCTAGTGTGAGTTCATTGTCAGTTAGCTATACTGTACGGCCAATATATCATTATATATATAAACATTATATATTATAAACATTATTTTCCCAACAAGTCTGTGGTCTTCGCAGCACCCTTTTTATTTGGACTAGGAATGCTTTCCCAACAAACTGTTTTAAAATAAACTTTGCAATCTCTTGTAAGCTAGGAAACCTGTAACAATCCCTTGAAAGCTAGGTAACCTGCATGCCCCATAATTATTCTGATTACTGAACTTGTAATGCAGGCCTCCGGTTACGCTTTTGGTGGCGCTTTGCCTGCACATGCTTTTGCATGTCATAATTGCCCCCAAACTCAATACTTGGTTCGGTGGTTGTGATGTTTTCAATAGAGACCTCATATTACATTATGACTCGTCATATTTATACGGGAGTGGTCTTATGTACAAAATTCATTGGTCAAATTTTATTGTGACTCAGGGTGATTGGTCTCCAACTCTAGTTGAAATCCTCACACGATCATCACACCATTTTGTCTCCGTCCCCTCTTTTATGCAATGTGGTACATTTGAAATGTACACACTAGAAAGGCTCATCCTTTTTCTGAGTCTCTGGTTTATCTCTTCAAAAGTCAATGTACCAATTAGAGTTTTAAGCCTTAAAATCCCCTTAAAAAGTGCTTATCAAAAAAGGATTCTTAGATAAGTTACTACTCCTCGAGCCATTGGTAGCTTGCTTTGGTCCAAGGTTTTTCAGAGGGCAAAAAAAACATCAGAGGCTCGATCAAGCCCTGTAAATTACTGTGAAAAAGAGACTGCTCCGGACAAGCACTAGCAGACTGGCTTTAGGCAGTAGAAACACGGCTAATGAGCATTTTGACAGAACTCACCTATATTCTCCACTGTAAAGCAGGCCTCATCATAGGTTGTGTTCTGAGGAACCGAGCGCAGCTGGATGCAGTAGGAGGTCCAGATTCGTGTGAAGGTCTTGTTGAAGTAGCACTCGTTTTTCACAGTCTGCGTGTAGTCAGGGCACTCATACCAATCACTGGACAGGGCTCTGGACACCAATCCATAATAAAAACCAAAGTTTTAGAAACAATCCACTGCACATTACACTGCAGTACATAAAGCTGACAATCTATTTAGAAATGACAATAAAAATATGAAATGACAATGATTTACACTGAAATAATGCATGTGTGTGTTCTACACCAAAATTTTAAACAGAATTTGATCATTTATTTTATATTTATTATTAGAGTTTTTACGCATGTAACATTTATGACCACATATTGAGTGAACACTTGTTATTTGTACTTAGAGAATCCCCATCATGAGACTATTAAGAAGTACAAATATCTGACTACAAGTGACAGCTAAAGAATGATACTACAAATAAAGCTGAATACAAGTGATGGAATACTACATCATATTTTACTATCTGAAATGTGCTGTGGCTTATATTCCAAGTCAACTTACATGAAGCAATTCATGTAAAGGAAGCACAACATTTTATGTACTTGGATTTGAGTCAAATGAGACATTTGAGAGGGCATTTTCCACATTCCACTAGTTTCAGTTTCAATTTAGATGAACTTCAGGCCTAAAATATTTAATACGTTTTTTAAAAAGCCACTAAAATTTCAGTCTGTTTTATACTTTTTAGTAATATGTACATTATTTCTGAATAATATTTTAAAATTTGACACATTTTTTTTGTTTCTTCCCTCACCAATGTTGTTCGGTACAACCAAAAAAAACCCCACATATTTAAATATTAAGAATCCGCATCATCTGCACCTCTATCTATTAGTGTCTTCATGAAACCTGGTATTTTGAGGATGTTTGTCTCACTTTGTCTGATAGAAGATCCTGAGGGCTCCAGGCTCAGAGAGGTTCTGGAAGGTTCCAGAACTCCACCAGCAACGGAAAGTCACCTGCTCGCTGGAGCGACAGCCTGTTAAATGAGGTCCTTTGTTTGCATCTGATGCTGAAAGAGAAGGGAGCATGGAACAAACAGTATAAAATCAGGTATAAACCATTAGAGAATAGTATAACACATCAATCAATTTGTCTTATAATGTACTGTTTGTACAGGCATAATTGGGGTGTTTTGTAAAATGTAGACAAGCACGTGATTTTGCCCTTTCATTTTTATTTAACAGCCAAAAGTACAAAGCAAAATGCAAGTGAACAGAATATTGAATTTTCAAATTAATATTTTTTAAAACAATCCACAATAAGCACAAGGACTGATTAAATGTGATGTGTTCAGGTTTGGGTGTGAAAGGAACATCTCTGTATTTGTACATCTCTATATCTTGATCATGGAAAACATTTCATATCAAAAGTAACATGAAAGTAAGGATGGGCTGGAATAAGATTCTGACGGTATGATAACCTTGGATAAAAAATTAATTAAATAAAAATCACGGTATAATGGTGTTAAATATATTCATTTTAAATGTCTGGGGTAAAAAAACTACATTTTCACCATTGAACACAATATATTTTATATAAGAAACAATTTAAATATTTTGGAACAGTAGATTTTGTTTGGTCCTTTTCTGCTAGAGAGAATGTTGCCAAACAAACTAAATAAAATAGTCATAAAAAATCATGCAAACCCCCTTCCCACCACCCACAAAAACAAACAAACTTCTATTTACCATAGGAAGGGTATAACAGCAATGACTCTAAAAACGGTTATCGTCCCATGCCTATAAAAAATTTCAGGAATACAAAAAATTTCTGCAAAGTCACCACTAAATGAGATCTTACAACTACCACATACACAATTGTGAAAAGATTCAGAGCACACAGAGAAAGAAAAACAGACATTAAGGACTCAGATTCAAAAATCAAAGGGTCCATCCAGACATTCATGAGCTACAGTACAAATGCAAAAACCACACGTCTGTTACATGTCATAGAAGGGTAGCAAAGCAAATGTGCAAAGGTACAATTGGCATTAGCTGTGCTTCCATCCATCTATTTTTATGCACATTTATGAGATGCGGATAAAACTGGTTGATGGAAACGCCAAGATGCCCATGCATTTTGAAAATGCGAAGAGAAAAAACATAACTGAGTAGGATAAACTTTTTATTTGATTTGAAAAGATGAATAACTACGATGGAAACACTTTTACTGAACAAACTCCAGCATGCGCATTAAAAAAGGTCATGTGATTTTGTTATAAGAGATCATGTGTTGATAAAAATGTGCGAGTGGACAAACCAGCAGTGTATATTTACAAAAAACAATTTATTTGCTTAGTAAAAAAATTGTAAATGTTTTTTTCTTGGTACTGTGGTCAATTAAAGAAAGGTTAAAGTCTGCTCAAGCCAGAAGTTGCTGCAAACTATGATTTCAGAATCATGCATTTCAAATTGAAACAGAATACCGAGTAGAGGCGGGGTTTTATTTTAGGCTCCTCCTGTTAGTGTTCGAAGGGTTGTAGCTATGCATATCTTACCCCAAACCATCAAACTGACATCATCAGAGAAGGATTGCCATTCCAGATCAGAAGCAAATGGTCAGATTTTGATTAAAATTACCAAAACAAATACTTTTTTCAATGATTTCATGCAGACTTTAAAGAGCATGAACCAAAATATTCAAACCAAAATATTCAAACAAATATTCATTTATTATAGCATTTTACAACTTCTTCACAATCTGCGTTGTACTGTATGTTATCTATTAGCACATTGTCAGTTCCCTCCTCTGCATCTGAGCTCCTCTGGTGCCAAGTTTACCAGCAGTCCTCTGCCGTCCTCTGCGTTTTGCGCAGCCATAAATAAGTCTTAGAGGGTGCAATTGATTTCTCCCCCTCTATTTCTTCGCTCCTTGCCTAACTGCAGTATAAATCAGCACAGCTAACACATGGCACCAAATCCGCGAGGTATCAAGATTTTCTATGACACCCTGTTTTCATTCGATCCCTTTCTAAATTGTGCCTGTAAGAGCTTCAATTTATGGTGGATTTGGGAATGGAGAGGACCGTTAAAAAAATCTAATTTACTCTAAAGAAACGTTTCTGCTGAGGATCTCCCCACACCCCTATTTTTCCCATTCTCCGTGGTCCAGTCCGCTTGTGGTGACAACAAGATGAATGTCCTCCGTCCCACAGCTGCTGAGCGCTACAAAACTACACCCACAGCCACACTGGGCAGGACTGAGCATGTGGAGAAGGGATTTTCAGTGCGAGTACAGTACACACACATGCATCAACATACACAGTAAAGGAGAAACTCCCATTTTTAAAATGTCATATTCTTGTAATGATTTTAAAACGATTTATTTAGATATTTTAAAATTTACATTAAGACGGAAATGACATTTGAGTGAATTATACTTAATACAGTATGTGACACTTTTAACAAAATCCGGAGGTGTCCATGTTGCTGAGCAATGTATATAAAACAACGTGAAGACTTGTGCGACCACCTTTATGTTTCTCTCCAGACCTTGAAAGTGTAATTGGCTGAATTTTAGAAAAGCTGAATTAAGATTGTGTGTGTAGGGTTGAATCGAGATTGTGATCTTTTTTCAATGAATCTTGCGGCCCTACATTGTTGTAGTTTCACAATAATCTGTTCAAATCTTGCTGGTGAATTTATTTATAATTTGGTTTATTTACTGCCATTTTCTTGCCACTATATTTTTTCTTATATTAATTTTTTTATTAAGGGGGTAAGAGTGCAGTAACTCTAACTCAGTAAATCTATCTATCTATCTATCTATCTATCTATCTATCTATCTATCTATCTATCTATCTATCTATCTATCTATCTATCTATCTATCTATCTATCTATCTATCTATCTATCTATCTATCTGACCACCTATTCATCTTAAAAAAGGTATTTTGTTGCAGTATGAATAAAAAGTGACATGTGGAGCTGCGCATCAATGAATTTGCTTTTTAGTGTTTGGACTTACAGCAGTGACAATTAAACCACACTGAACTGAACTAAACTGAAGTTCAACTCTGAAAACTCGGACAGTTTCAGTTCACTAGAACTTCTATGTTAAGCTGCTTTGACACAATCTACATTGTAAAGGTGCTTTAGAAAAAAGCTGCTACACAAAGCACTATGAAAATTGTGGGTCACACTTTACACTAAGGTTCATTAGTTAATGTTAATTAATGCATTTACTAACATGAACAAACAATGAACAATACAAAACTACGGTATTTGTTCATGTTAGTTAACGTTGGTTAATGAAAATACAGTAGTTCATTGTTAGTTCATGTTAACTCATGGTGCATTAACTAATGTCAACAAGCATGGACTTGGATGTTAATAATGCATTAGTAAATGTTCAATTATGATTAATAAATGCTGTACAAGTGTTGGTTATGATTAGTTCATGTTAGTAAATGCATTAACTAATGAACCTTATTGTAAAGTGTTACCAAATTGTGTATTACTTATTACAAAAATGCACATAATTTCCTCGTCTCCTTTCTTATTTAAGTCAAAATGCACAAAAAGGTATTTAGTATCATGGCAACCTTCATCTAGTATCTTCTCGAAGTCTCTCCTGACTCCCAAAACCCTGTTATTGCTGTTCCCTCCTTCTGGAAAATTCCGACATGTGCAAAAAAAAAAAAAAAAAGTGCATGCTATGAAAGTGATCAGGCCTGAAATAAACAGATGATTTGTGGGCCACTGCAGAACGGATGGGGGACAGAACAGAAAGGAACATTATCGCCACTAAATAGTTCATAGTCAATATTTGGTTTGGTGTTGGAAAGGGGGACGAAAAAAAAAAACAGATCACTGGTCCTCCAGAACACACACACACACACACACACACACACACACACACACGCACACGCACACACACACACACACACACACACACACACACACACACACACACACACACACACACTCCAAAACATTGCAAAAGCAGCTGTAAAAAGGCCAAATTTCAGCTGCGGGATCAGTTTCAACTGTGTTAGATGTCAGAGTGCGAGACTTTTTTTATTCATCAAGGACAATTCAAATGTGGTATAAGTGGAAAAATGAGCCTTGTGTTTTGGCTACACTTTTGATGAGGTAAACCATAAAAGCAGCTGCTCTCATGCAAAAACAGAATAATTCAAAGTATAATCAACTTGTTTTGGGTTTTCCCCCCTTCATTTTCTACAATACGAGCACCCATCATATTATTCACAGTAAAAGAGTTCCAGGGCTGTTTCTGATAATTACACAGAGAGTGAGTTATGCAGTTTTTTCTTCTTGAGCATGTTGCTGGATCTTGAAGACAGAGCTTTTGAGCCAAAGTACTTGCGCAAAAAAAGAAAACAGCTCGTTCATCATTCTGATGTCTGGCAGCGCTGTGGAATAATAATCTGTGTATGTGGTTGTGCAGGCGTGAATATTTTGGATCTGACCACTGATTCCTACACAAGAGATGGATTTCTTAAACCTGAACTAGTATGAAATGTTCCGGCTAAATAAAAATGAGAAAGCATGAAATGAACTCTGACATTGATTTTTGAAGATGTAAATTATGTTTAAATGGCCGCTGGTTGTTCCTAAACAACTATTCAAACACAGACTTTTTAGTTTTTAAGGTGAAAAAACAAAACATTTACATTACGACAAAGCAACACATTGGAATCAAAAACCCGTAAAAACTACAGTATATATATATATATTTTACATTTTTATTTATTTATTTATTTTTTAACTAACCCATGTTTTTATAAAATATTTATTAGCCTAAGATGGTTAAATTATATGAAAACTATATATAAACCATTGGCAGTACACTGTTAAAACGGTATCAAAAATGGTATCGCCTAAAATGGTATGTAAATTCTACAATAAAATAAATTATCACAGAGTAGGGCTACAATATTGCAAAAATAAAGTGGTTTCAATTAATAAATTTTTATTCCACCAATAAAATTGAGTTTAAACTAGGTCTGTGCGATTGGCAAAAACAATTATCACAATGTTTCATATCA